TGGAAAATTTCGAAAAATGCTTCAAATAAAAGTTGTATCTACTGCTATTTCCTGCAAAAAGATCGTATACAATTTTCTTCTCGAATACTTCCGGAGTAATCGACTAATTCGATATCACGTCAGTGATTGGCGAAGCCATTAATTTCGTATAAAAATCCGCTAATCTGTCTACAAAACCAGTCTCTAACTTTATAATCAGCCTAAACCCATAATAGAAGAGAAATAATCTGCACACTTTGATCCCATCCGAGGCGCCGTTCGACAAGATGATATTGCGATAGTCAGAAGGGAATCCATCTCTCTTCTCGATGTACTGCGCCACATGTTTACGGATGATCTCGATTCCGGCCGATTCCGAGTACGCACCGACGCTGCCACCTTTACATTGTTGCAATATAGTTCTGGCTCGCTCCTTAGCATCCTCGGGGTAGTTGGGGTCGTTGAGGAGGCTCGGTGACACCGTCAGAGTCAAGACCTCCCTGAGGAAAGTGATGGGCCGCTGCCCCATAGCATGTGCATCCCCCACATTTGCCTTTATGACCTCCTTGAAAGGTTTCTTGGCCCCCTGAAATAAAACCGGGTATTCTTCAATTATTATCTATCCCCCCTTCATCTTTTCACGTGTAAAGCAACATCCAGGGAGCGTTAAAGAAACCCAAAGGACGGGACAAGTAAGGTTCCATTTCTCATGCGGTTTGAACACAAACGTACGGAAGACAGTCATCATCACTTTATGACTCACAGACTGATTCGTCTGACAAGCCGAAGCCTTGGCAGCTGTACGTGTCGAGAAAACGTCAGGTTCATCGTGGAATTTTTTTCTCGCACGTGCGAATGACGCACGACCAGAATTTGCCAATTTATTTATTTGATTTATAAAATTTCTCGAATTTTACGATACTTCTTTATGGTAACGTGAATGCTTGTGTAACAGCGTTTTAAACGTGGGCAAGGTGCGTGTAACAGATACTGTTTACACGAAACTGGAGCTGCTTATGATGTCGAACTACCGGCCGACTAGTTAAACGGCTCTCCTTACTAAGTTTGTTAGCTCCAGAATGACACAGCTTGACCCCTTCGTATCTTGAGGGATAATGAAACAGATCAGTGAACTTATGGTGTACGAAATCCCTTGTGACAGTAGTGGGGATTACCATTTGGTGGGGGTATGCTAGGCATAGGTCGGTAGTCAGAGTCGTTGCTTATTCTTAAGATCGTTTGAAGAATTTGCTATCCCTGTCTATCCCATATTTCCAGTCCCTGTCGTGTACAGGGAACATGGACTTAAGCAAATGCTTAAAACGATCTTAAGAATAAGCAACGACTCTGACTACCGACCTATGCCTAGCATACCCCCACCAAATGGTAATCCCCACTACTGTCACAAGGGATTTCGTACACCATAAGTTCACTGATCTGTTTCATTATCCCTCAAGATACGAAGGGGTCAAGCTGTGTCATTCTGGAGCTAACAAACTTAGTAAGGAGAGCCGTTTAACTAGTCGGCCGGTAGTTCGACATCATAAGCAGCTCCAGTTTCGTGTAAACAGTATCTGTTACACGCACCTTGCCCACGTTTAAAA